GCCCTTCTCCGCCTGAGGCCCCGCCCATAGCCATATGGGGCGAGGAGGTCCAGGCAGACCGACCTGAGCTCGGTCCGTCGGGGGTCTTCACAACCCGGAGAGGGCAAGGTGAGGAGAGCTCTGGGAACCGCCCCTGTTCAGCTCTTGGAGCCACCGGATCTTGCATGGCTTCCCCACCCAACCCTTGTCCCCACATCATGAAAGGCGGTCTGGGATGGGCCCGGCGTAGAGCTGTGGAGCCGGGACCTGGAGCTGCCCACTTTGTTCGCGGTTGCTCCCAGAGTATCTGTAGGAAGGCCCGGGGCAAGCCCCCCAGCCCCGGCCCCCGAGGGAACAGGTGGGAGGGCCCTCATTGAACGTGACGTTCACAAGCAGACGTACACAAGCAGACAGACCGGAGTTGACTTTAGTTCATGGTTACGTATCTCTCGTCGGTCCACCATTCTGTGCTTCTCTGTCCCTCACACACGCCCATCTTCCATCCTCCTTCCCACCTTTCAGGATGGCGGTTTTCTATCTTTTTTCCTCAAATGGGCACCCTCCTAACCGCTGTTGGCTTCCCTGTGACTTTTAGGAGGGAGCCCACCCCCATTCACGCAGACCATTCGCTGAGGTGCCCTAACCACACCCTCTAGCCGCACCAACAACACACTCTAGAATTTTCATCTAAACTCCTCTTCATTCCACAGCCCCCATTACCTTACACGGTCTTCTCCTTCTCCCACCTGCCAGCTCCTTGCCCATCCTTCAACCTCCTCTCTCTATCTTTTTTTCTGAGTTGGGGTCTCTCTCTGTCACCCATGCTGCAGTGCAGTGGCGCAATCACGGTTCACCACAGCCTCCACCTCCTGGACTCAGGCAATTTTTTTGCCTCAGCCTCCCAAGTAGCTAAGACTACAAGTATGCTAAGACTACAAGTAGCTAAGACTACAAGTATGCCACCATGCCTGGCCAATTTTTAAAAATTTTTTGGAAAGATGAGGTCTTACTGTGTTTCCTAGGCTGTCCTCAAACCCCTGGGCTCAAGCTGTCTTCCTGCTTTGGCCTCCCAAAGTGCTGGGATTACAGCCATGAACCACCATGCCCTACCTTTTACCTTCTCTTTCAAATGTGCCTGCCAGATCTCTGTCTGAACTCCTGTTCCTTCCATCGTCACTTAGTGGTGGCTCAGCCCTGCTGGTCTTTGAGTCATTCAGGTCATCTTCCTCCCCAACCTTTGGTATGGCTGCATCTGACCCTTCACTGTGTCCACTGCTATCACCCTTTCCTGACCAACCTCTGTAGTAGGGACTTCCTGTGCCCTGGCTTCCACCAGCACCAGATGATCCTGCTCAGACTCTCTGTGCAGTAAAGGTTTGGGGTATTCAAATCCTGCACCCTAAAACTGATCCTTGACCAGCTCTTGGGAAACATACTCTAACCCCTTGGAATGTCCTGCCTGGTTTGAGTGTTTGAGTTTACTTGAGGCCTTGGGTCACTCTAGAGTCTATGCTAACAATGTGACTTGTCAGGGAGCCTTGGGCCATGTGGCATCAGCCTGACAGAGCTCTGGAGGGGCTGGAGACTAAGGTCAGCCACACAGGAGGTCAGCCATGCCTATGTGACTAACGCAATACAAACCCTGGACACTAAGGCTTGGTGGGCTTCCCTGGCTGGCACCACACTGTGCACGTTGTCATACATCATTTGTGGGAAAATGAGCATTGTTCACATGACTGTACTGGAAAAGGACAACTGGTGGCTCCTGCCTGGTCTCTCCTGGACTCTGTCCCATGAGCCTTTGCTCCTGCTAATTTTAATCTATATCCTTTGCCACCTGTGAGTTTAACAGCTTTCTGAGTTCTGTGAGTCCTTCTAGTGACTCATCAAACTTGAGGGTATCTTGTGGATTCCCCAGTGGTCCCTTTTCACTTGGCATGAGGACCACATCCTAACCATGAAGGACCTGCAATTGGTCCCATCACACAACCTCATGTTTCCTGTTCTCTCCTGCTGAGCACACCCCAGGCACCAAGCCCTGTGCTGTGGCAGGCACTTCCCTTCAGGGTCTTGGCCCTGGCTGTGCCCTCTACTTGGGATGCCCTTCTCAAATATCCTCTGAGTTCACTTCTCAAAAGGTGTGCCCTGGCCACCAATCCTGACATCACAGCTCAATTCTCTTTCTCTGGCTGGACTTGACTTTTTCCTGGGCATTCATTACTACCTGAGCTGCATATATGTTTTTCTTGTCTCTCCTTCACTATCTGTTTCCCTGTTGGGATTTGAGTTCCAGGAGGGAAGAGATGTCTGCCCTTTGTCCCTGCTCTTTCTGTAGTTGTGAAGACATTGCCTGGCACACAGCAGGCTCATGTGTTGAATGAATATAGGAGTGGGCAGGGGTGCATTTTAGGGGGATGTTCCAGGGATGTGCCTGAGGATGTAACATTTGAGCACAATCTCAGTGAATTTCCTCCTCTTTCTCTGTCCCCATAAACAGACATACAAGGTCTGACAATTAAGTTAACAAACTTGCCACCGTGTTTGTTGTACAAACAACTCTGTAAAGTTTCATAACCTTGGTATATCAGTGTCTCACAGCTGGGTTCATGTGTGATGGTGTCTTGCTGAGTGGCATTCATTATTATTGTTGCATGTTTTTGTGTGCTGTCGCGAGAATGTCAGACCCTGAATTAGAACACGAACAAACATTAAATTTCTTGTTAAGCTTGGCAAGAGTGGGAGTGAAATCAGGAACTGTTTATAGGGATATGTTTATAGGGATAATACCATGAGGAAAATGGCAGTGTACAAATGGATTAAGCATTTTTCTGTGGTCATTGATGAAGCGAGGTCAGGACAGTCAGGAACGAGCAGCACTGACAAAAACATTGCAAAAAGTTGTCAAATTATATGTCAAAATCATCAGCTGAATGTGAGAAGCATAACAGACCAAATAAACATTGTTAGAAAAACAGGAAAATCTTAACTGAAAATCAGCATGAGAAAGGTGTGTACAAAAATCCTGAAGGAACTCTTGCATCACGACTGCACCAGCTCATACAGCACTGTCTGTGAGGGAGTTTTTAGCCAGTAAACAAATAACTGTATTAAACGCCTTCCTTACTCACCTGATCTGGCCCCCAATGACTTTTTTTCTTTATCCGAGGATAAAGGAAATATTGAAGGGAAGACATTTTGATGACATTCGGGATATCAAGGGTAATATGATAACAGTTCTGATGGCCGTTTCAGAAAAAGAATTCCAAAATTGCTCTGATGGGTGGACTAGGCACTGGCATCAGTACATAGCTTCCCGATGGGAGTACTTTGAAGGTGACTGTAGTGATATTCAGCAATGAGGTATGTAGCACTTTTTCTAGGATGAGTTCCCAAACTTAATTGTCAGATTTCTACAGTGGGTCGAGTGGTATCCCTCCAAAAGACATGTTTACATGTCTAGGGACCCCTGGTACCTAGAACACAGCCTTATGGAAAAGGGGTCTTTGTAGATATAAATAAGTTTAGGATATTGAGATGAGGTCATCCTGGATTTAGGGTGGGCCATAAATTCAATGTTTGATGTCCTTATAAGAGAGGGATATTTAAGGCACAGAGAAACAGGGGAAATAGCCATGTGAAGGAGGAGGCGGAGAATGGAGGAATGTGTCCACAGGCAAGGAACATCTGAGATTGCCAGAGCCATGAGTGGTGAGGAGAGAGGCCTGGAACAGATCCTCCCTCAGAGCTTCCAGAAGGAACACACCCTATTGACACCTTGATTTTGCACTTCTTGCCTCCAGAACTATGAGATAATAAATTTGTGTTGTTTTAAGTCACTCCGTCTGTGGTGCTGTTATAGCAGCCTTAGGAAACTAGCACAAGTTCACAGAGGAGGTGGGACTGAGGAACCTCCTGTCTGACTTTCCTCAGGCCTGTGTTCCAGACTGGGACCATCCTCCTGCCTCTGCCTCTGAGCTTGTCCATACCTAACTTCGACCAGGCCCCTTATTTATTGGATGTTCTCTGGGGCCACCCTTTCTCTCAGGAGACAGCCTGGACAGCCTGCCCTGTGTAGTGGCTTATAATGCCAACTTCAGGTTCACTGCTCACTGCCTCCT